ACCTCTGCTGTAGTCAGAGCCGTTAAACAGCTGCAGAGGACGACACAGTGAGATGATAGAAACAAACCTCATAATGAAAATCGTGTAATAAACATGATAGAAATACCTAACCATGCCACATTTCTACAAAATCAAGAATCAAATGATTTTTATTAATTTTTTTCTGTGAAAAGAAAATTGTGTCACTGGATCTCAGGTGTGCATCTGTAAAGCATTAGGAAATTTCTAGGAATTTCTAGGAATAGCCCCTCCCACAGTCACTCGTCTCGCCACAGTCTTGACTGAAATTCTCTGAGCTCATCTCAGGATATTAAAACAATAACCACGAGATTTGGGAAAATCCTGCTAGTTTACTAAGAATCTTTAAATCCCAAAGCAGACACACTGCTGAAGTGTTTGTTAGCGAGACACCAGATTCCTGAAAGTAAGTTGGATTAATCAGTGTTGACTTTTCAATATCTTATCAACAAAAGAAGCTCTTTATAACCATCTATAGTTGGAAATTAGTGGGGAAATGGGTGCGCTCTGCAGTTTAGCTAATTATTTGACCATAAAATCAGTTAAGGTATAATCGCTGCTCAATACTGAATGACTTCCAGATGTGTGTCTGTGCAGGTGTTACATAAGCTGCTAATCCCACAGATATCCTCCCAGTTTGAGCCGTTCTTAGACAAACGTCTGCACTGCAGTCCGTCACATTTCGCTGAGCACACCCTTTCTCTGTACGTCCTAAACTGCTGTCATAACACCCTGAGCTGCTGGCCTGCTGGTAATTGGTGAGGGTATACCCGCACACTACACCTCTATATGTTTTTGTAGTTGAGGCCTATTGCAGCCGTTTGTTTAAAGACAGAAAGCTGGCGTTGGACTGTGGTGGTCGTGGTCGGCGCTCAGCGACCGGAGGGGTGAAGACAAAACGCTCAGCAGCGCGAGAACAAAGTGTTTCAGATTGTGCGTGTGGTGCAGTTTAGGGCACATTTAAGTGTCTTAATACTGAGGTTTGGACTCAGCGCCAGAAAACAGCACAGTTAATTCAGTGTCCAACCTCCACAGATACACCTGGATGATGTTTAAAACCCGAATCGCTCAGTTTCTGCTTGTTGTGTTATCTCAGACAGCTGCTCACTGTTTATTTTACTCTCCTGTAGGGATGCACCGATACCGATACTGGTATCGGGTATCGGGGCCGATACTGTAAAATGTGTGTGTACTCATCCTCGTAAAAGTTAACCGATACCATGAACCGATAC